AATCAATCATTCCATTCCTTTTCTGATTCCATTATACCAATTACCTTCTTCCCCATCACGAGCATGGTATTTAAAGGTTATTGATGGATTGTCTCCCTGTTTATGCTCAACGACTTCCCAAACAACCTTGTCAAATCCTTTAAGCCCACCTTAGAACAAGAAATAGGAAAACAGAATGAAAACTAAATAACACTATAAAGAAAATTGGTAATTGACCCTAATTGACAACCATACACATTGATGAAAAATTCAGAAATTGCTACATACCATGGAGACTGTTTGGACCATTGTTAATTGGAAGAGAATATTCAGTCCCATTGAGTGTGAACTTCCCCTCTTTAATCCTGTTTGCAACTCTCCCAACAATGCAACCAAAGTAGGGTGCAGAACCATTCTGATAGATCAAAAAATAAACCACAAATTTAGGGTATATAATGTATATGAAATCAATTTCAAAATCGATTACTATACGCATAATGGGTTCAAATTAAGAACCTTTAAGATCGAATTGATAGAAACAACATTATTCCAATTCGTATCACAATTATAACCCCAAATGTAGCTATCGATCTTTCTCAAATCCTAAAGTTTTGTTCTTTTATCTCAAAATTTGAATTATCCTGATACGGACTGCGTATTTAGTTAAACCCTAATTTTGGGGAAACTTCGGATCAACAAGATGATCGTGTTGCTTTCGCAGTGAATTGTAAAGGAACTCACCAGATAGGGTTCGAGAGTGTCAAATCCAAGAACAACATCACCCAATGTTCCTGTTAAAAATCAAAATCCGAAACATCATCAGCGATTAAATAGTTTCGAACGAGAGACGAGAAGAAAGGGGAGATAAGAGATGAGAATGATACCGTCTTTATCAGGAACGAACAAGGATGTGATGGTGCAACCATAATTAGAGACCATAACCTTGATTGTTCCATTGTTTAGTTCAAAGAGCTGTGGTTTTTGGTCCGCCATTGGTAACGATTGCAGTGATGAGTGATGAGTGATGATCAGATCGATTATATGGAAGTTATATAACCATTAGAGGAGAAGAAATCGAATGGGTTTGGATTTAGATGCCGATCTACATAAAGAGTTCGAGAGATCCACGGAATGTATTATTGGACCCACGGAGGTGATCTGATGGAAGTTTAGATACCTTTGGACGTGCATTTTGGAAAGCTCTTATTTTATTTAGACAAAACTTCAAAAATATCCCTATGGTTTCCGAAAATATCAAGTTTAGTCCATAAGTTCAAAAAACGTCATACATGATCCATGTGGTTTCAAAACTTTTAACAAATGATCATTTTCGTTAACTCTGTTAACATTTAACCGTTAAGTGAAGGGTATTTCTGTCATTTCACAACCGCAGGGACCATTTATGAAATTTTGTCTTAATTATTTATAAAAAAAATAAAGACAAAATTGCAAAAATGGTCCCTGTGGTATGTAAATTTTTGGGGTTTTGGTCCAAACCACGGGTTTTTTGGATTGGTGGTCCTTTTGAGCTAGTTTGCTTGTAATTTTGGTCCCTCAGAAAACTGAAAAGACTAAAATGCCCTTTCTGATATATTTTTTATATTTTTTCTATTTAATTTAAAGAAAAAAGAAAATAAATAACTAATTTGGGCCCACTTCTCTCTCTCTCTCTCCCAAACACCCCCTTTTGATGTTGTTGCTTCCCTTCTATGGATGTGCCACCGGAACAGAAAGAAGAACGACGAGGGAGTTGTCGGAGCAACCTCCCTTACCACATCAGACGGTGGGATCTCTTCCTCCTCCACTCCTGTGACAACCGTCAAATTTCGATCAAGTCAAAGTCAACTAAAGTCAGCAAGTCAAACCGTTTGACTCAATTTGCCCATGAGTACTAAAATTCACACTATGAAACTTCTACATAACTTCTATTCTAATGAGAAATCATAAAGCAAAAAGTGCGAACACCTATACCTCCTAACCTAAAAACTGTGGTACGTGGCGAGCCAAACCGATAAAACAATGTTGCATACTCATCGGGAGTGTGTAAGATCCTTAAACAAGGCTTAACAGGGTTTACGAACCATGCATTGCAATGCCGGACACTCACAGTTGTCACACATGGAACCTCTCCCAATCGTTTTCACTCTATCTCTCTCTATGTCAAATCTCTCCCAAATCTCTCCAAGTATGTGAAATCTCTCTCAAATATCTCTCTGTATTAGAAATCTCTCCAAGAATGTCAAATCTCTCCCAAATCCCTCTAAGCATGTGAAATCTCTCTCAAATATCTCTCTATATGAGAAATCTCTCCAAGAATGTCAAATCTCTCCCAAATCTCTCCAAGTATGTGAAATCTCTCTCTAATATCTCTCTGTATGAGAAATCTCTCCAAGAATGTCAAATCTCTCCCAAATCTCTCCAAGTATGTGAAAACTCTCGCAAATATCTCTCTGTATGAGAAATCTCTCCAAGAATGTCAAATCTCTCCCAAATCTCTCCAAGTGTGAGAAATCTCTCCCAAATCTCTCTCAAAAGTTTCCCGTAACTTTTTGGAATCATTCGGGTCATTCCGGCCCTTAACCGGGTCAAAAACGGCTTAAAACGGGGTAAAAACGAGAAAAATAGGCTTTAGGAACCGAAACCAAGAAGAGAGGCCTCTTAGGACCAGAACCAAGCCTCTCATGGCTGAGGCATGCGAGACCGAGCCTCGGTCTCTGCCTCTCTCGGTCTCTCTTCTGGTCGCTCGGTCTCTGCCTCTCTCTGTTCCCTTCTCTCGCTCGGTCTCTGCCTCTCTCTGTTCCCTTCTCTCGCTCGGTCTCTGCCCCTCTCTGTCGCTTCTCTCGCTCTGTCTCGCGCCTCTCTGTCCCTTCCCACCTCTCGGTTCCCTCTCTCTCCTTTCTTCCCTCTCGGTTTCCACCCTCCCCCTCTCGGTTCCTCTCCTTTCTCTTCTCTCCTCTCGGTTTCTGGCTCCCTCCTCTCGGTTTCAGCATCAGAAGGCCGAACCTCGGCCAGAATCCGGAAAATTGTCACTTTTAGCCCATTTTTGATATTTTTAACATTTTAAGCCCGTTTTTCGTGATTTTAAAGCGGGATTTTCTCCAGAAATTATATTTTAACATAATAAACCCTAAATATTCATAATTTAAACATATTTTGATGAAAATCATTATTTAAATAATAAAAATCAAATGGGTGAATTATTAAAGGTGGAGTGTTGACTTTGCCTTATCCAATGTCACAAGCAACCACCCCACACCCACTCTTTGACTAACCACACCTCCCCACCTTACCTAGGTCACTTCAATGTCCCTCACACCCAATTTACACTCATTCCCACGTTTTTGAGCTGGAACAAACATCCTCTCTCCTCATTTCTCTCATTTTCTCCCATTTCACTAAGTATCAAACACCACTTTTCTCTCAAACTTTTTCTCCACCAAACTCGAGATTCAAGGCTGATTATCAAGTGTTCTTCCACTCTTAGTAAGTAAAAATTCATCCTCCTTATGATTATCTCACTTATTTCCACTCAAATCATGGATATCTTACACAAACTCCATCATATTAGCGTTAGAGCTTCGAATCTTCAAGTGATTCTTCAAGTGTTCTTGGGTTGAACACTTCTCTTCTTCAACACTTATCTACTGAAATCACTCAAGGTGAGTTCATACCCCTACATTTTTATGTTTTCTCAAGTTTTCAGGGGGGGAATACAAGTTAAAACACTAAGAACATAACTAAAATTTTCTAACAGCCTTCATCAGAAAAGTTCAACTCCATTCACGGACTGTTTTGGACATCTTAAACATTTTTGTTTTCAAAACTGTACAAGGTGCAAATAGTTCAAGTTTTTAGATTTAAAATGACTACTTGCACATATTCATACGATTTTTCTACAATTTATGGTGATTTTTACAAAACTGCCTATCATTTCAAACAGCAATCCGGACCAGTCTGTGATTATGGACTTTTTCACCCAAGTTGGAGGTCATTAAAAATTGTGATAAAAATTATGAGTAAACTAGACACATTTTTTGAACTCTCAGAATTTACGGATCTAGTTTTCGACTTCGTATGATTTTTCTATGATTTTTCCAAAACAGGGTAGAATTGCTAAATTTAGCCAACAACATGTAAATATCATAACACTTTGTAATATGTTGAGCAAAGTGTATAATCATAAGCTCTAATTATTGAATGTGTTTCTTTGTTAGTTTATCATCATGAACTGAAACTAAGTCATTCATAATAAATATATTTCATTCATTTTAGAACACGTATATTAAACTATAAAAAGTATAGTTTGATAAATTCATAACACTAATACATTTCCATAAAAGAATTCATATATATTACATACATTTTAGATAAACTATAATAGGTATAGTTTATGATACATCACTCAACACACTCGTACAAAAAGGGTACATTCATACAAGAAAGATTTATATTCACACACATTTCACGTAAACTTGTTAACCTATATTGTGAGACTCTCTCTCTCTCTCTCTCTCTCTCTCCCCGTACGTCCGAGTGCGGGATATAATCCTGGTAGTTATAATCAGAATCTCCTTGAGGGAGAACGTGATACTTGTATATAGATCTATATTGGGTTTGACACCCCACACCTTGCTGCTAGCTACAGTTGGACCTGCAGGTCTACGGGTGACAAATGTCATTTTATTTTTCGCGACACTGAGAACGTCGTGGCAGGTTCACATAGTCATAGTATGATTATAGCGACTCACATAGGGATATAACAATCCATAAGTTTACGGGATTTTATTTTTAAAACCTAAATGAGTTTTATGTCGATTTAAAAATCACTTTTTATCTCTATGAGTACAGATATTACTGTACACTTTTGGTTTTGGTAGTTACGACTACACATCATTTGAAACCACATTTATACTTTTAAGTATGGTCAATACTTGTTATTTCTCGGTCCTCTAATTTAGGACTACATATATATAAGTATTAACGAACATGAGAACATACAGAAATTTCATTTAATTCAAACGCGTCCATGTCCATTTAAGTACATAACATTTTCTAATTAATAAGAAAGGTTACTTATACATTTTGGTCTTCAGTACGCAGATTTTAAAGAAAATATCGGATTTTCTGGATGCATATTGTAACGCTTTTACAAGGAAAACGATTTACTTTTCCAACGAAATTTCTTATGAACTCACCAACCTTTGTGTTGACACTTTTCAAAACTACTTGTATTCTCAGGAATTCAGTGAAAACAGGAAATCAACAACGTTTTGAGGATGGGACGATAAATCGTCAAACAGTTCATTTTGTATTATAATGTAATTGATGGGGAATCATGTAAACATGTGCTTTGATGTAACGTTTTCAATTATATTTGTGTTGGATGTATTTACTTTGAGCACTATTATACTCTTTGTTGTGATACTCTACATGAAGTCCTCCACCCCCGGACGTTTCCGCCATCCTTGGTTTGGGGGTGTGACAGATTGGTATCAGAGCATTGTTTATAGTGAACTCAGTATATCAAACCACATAAGATATACAAACTATAAATGCATTGGGACTAAGTCTCTGATTTAAAGTTTCAAAACAACTATACTTTTAGAAATAAATAGTTTCTTATTAAAGGTATACATGCATACATACATATTAAGGTCAGCACCACTCTAGAATAAAAGAAAAGTAATGATTGTTGAATATCACAGGTAAGCTCGGGGATGTATGGTCAGTCTTGGGAGTGGCATAGCCTGATCAACTATGCTGGTCCGAGGAGTGATTAGCACATGCCCAAGAATAGTTGTGATATGGCAACAAGTCTAAAACTTACCAACACTACCACAATGAGAACATTAGAATAGAACATGAGTTTAAAATACTATAGGAGTATTTTGTAATATCATAACTTATATGAAAACTAAATAGATCCTTATTAATATGTCTATAGTCCCTAAGTGGGTACTTAAGGTTATATATAACTTAGAAATTATAGACTTAGAATTGTGGTCATTACTTTACTTCCTTTTCCTTGTTTGGATGTGGACTTAGAGTGGGATCACTTATTCAAAGGTCTATCGTATCTTGTTATATGTAATCAGTATGCACTACGTCATTATAGAAGTAACTAATAAGGATCACCCC